ACTAGTATAATTGTTAACAGCTTACTACTAGTGGCTGATTTGTGTTTCACCCAATTTCTCTGTTACAACAGCAATCTTGGTTGGTCTTTTAATTTAAAAATATCTTTGCTACCCTTGTAATAAAATGCAGTCAACCTAGCAATGTCTAGTTTGACAGCCTCTCTGACGTTTGCCATGACAACTGTGCCAATGGAAGAAAAAAAATTTACCCAGTATATAACCTCTATCTAATCTTAGGCTAGACTTTTGTACTAGACAATGATAACAAATTAATCATATCAATTAAAACATTACTCGGAATATCACTCTGCCATCAATGTGAGCGGGCGCTGGTGGTACCAAGACTGGTGCTACAAAAGGTACTGCTACTGGTACTGGCCCCGGCCCTGGTGGAGAAACGTTTCTCTGCCTCACTGGAACAGGTTCTCCATTTCTTTTACAACTCTTCCTGCAAGGATAAATTTAGTAATTGCCTCATTAATGTGTCTAAAAAGCTTGTTATCTATGAATCCTTGGTAGAGGGTAAAGCATTACAGCAAGCTTACAGTGCCTTTAAAAGGTGTTTTCGATTTATCTTTTTAGTCTGAGCACCTAACCCTCTACGTCTTCTGTTTTTAATGAAACCAAAGTGGAAAAACCTTACATGTATATGTTAGAAAGGTATTATTACTGTAAAAATTTTGAGCTTTTTCACAATATTGGAATCCTTGATTTCACTTTACTTAAGTTTCTCACTTAGTGTATTAAAAATTGCACTAATGCATAACCAAATGCAACTTAGAACATTGTAAAAGATATGATTTGGCAGGTTGGCTTTACCTGAGGCTTTCACAGTCAGGGACCCTGCACCCTGGCCTACGACAAAAACGTGCATGCTGTTTAACAATATTCCTTGTGATCAAACAACGTCCACAGCGCTGCCATTCCTTATGAACTTGCATGTGCTCCAACTCTAACTTCACCTGCAAGGAAATATATATATAAACAAAACAACTCCAGCCTTGGGCTTTAACTATTGTTACTGTATTATTATGTACAGATTTTCCATTTATGAATTACTTATTTATTTAGATCATAATTGATACCTTTTTTGTGATCATTATCATTTTATTGTAACTATTATTTTTAAAATCCTTGTGATACGAAAGTGTTAAGGATAATAAATGTAGATGCAGATGTAAACTGTAAGATATGGTGAATCAGAAACCAAAAAGCTATAATAATTTCTTCATTTTTTCAATTATCCTCAGAGAAAAATAAGCATACTTGACACATTTTGAAGCATTGTAAACAACTTACATTCTTGCATTTGTGGTTATGGCAATCGGGACTGGAACAGTAACTTGCGTGTTGAACATCTTGAGGGAAGAAGACAAACTCACTCTGCAATGGAAATATAAATCAAGCATCAGCAACATTGCATTTTAACACGTGTTACATGTTACATGTTGTTTTAACACACATGGATACCAAAATTTAAAAAATTCAAGGGGAAAGACTACACATTGCACTAGCTCTCATCTACCAACACTAGCTACCTGTATCATTCAGAGTTCAATTTAAGCTTTTTGTTTTTAAGTCATTAAACAATATAAGCCTGCCCTACATGAATATCAATGACTGGCCATCAGCTTTGGCTAAAATGATGGGCTTCTTATAGACATTGTCTACATTCAATTGGTGTTGACCAACTTGAGTGACAAACTACCTTTCCGGTTGTGGCTGTGCTCATGCGAGTTCCTTCCTCCCCAGGGCTGTGACACTGTTCTGCATTATCAACTTTGGATGGTAAAAACAGCTGGAGGCCGGCCTGATTAGTACTGGAGAAATCTACCTCCATTTTTCCTACACTTCCATCATCTTTCTCTTCTTCTACAGATCTTTTCTTTTTATTTCTGCCTGGTGTGTCAGTTTGTTTTTTACCAGGGAAATACCACTGTGGATATTTCTTCTTATCACCTCCATCACCGTCAGCATTGCCCTTTCCCCCACAGCCACCACCACTGCTGTTTCCTCCAGAAAAACCACCACCACCACTTCCAGAGTTACTACTGCAGCCATCACTGCTACCACTGCTGCTTCCTTCACTTTGAACCCCAGAATCTCTTGGTTCACTCAAGTTGGAGTTAGGTCTTCTCCTCTTGGCTGGTGCAGGTTTTATTTTGTTGATAGATTCAATGATCTCGTCAAGAGACAGACATGGCTGATTTGGAGCATGTTTCCTGATACTTTTTGGTTTCCTTTTCTTGACTCTTTGGCGTGTTTTCTTGACTTGCTTGTGCTGCACTGCAGGGAGATCAGGCACAGTGATAGACCAAACATTTCGTTTTTGTCTTTTACCAGCTTGCCTACAGGTCAAAACAAATATTCACATAGGATTAAAACTGTACCCAGGAGAAATATCAGCACACAATCCATGACCACTCTTGTTACTCAAAGGACTTCAAATGGAATATCTTTTTAGAGGTACAAAATATGGGAAAATATTGTAAAGTTCATCAGTTAACTACATGTCACACATCAACTTACACTCTTCCTGATGGAAACCTAAAGGGAAACCGAGGAAAGATACAAACCTCCTTGCAACAATTTTGTCCTTTGATTCAGTTTTAACAAGCTGTTCTACTTCTTCAACTTTCACCTCTGCTGTTTCATCACTTGTTATTTCTTCTTTCATAGAGATGCCATCTTGAACCTCCAGACCTTCAGATGAAGCTGACGGGGGTTCCAATGAAAGCAAACCTTCTGGAAAGCCAGAGCTCTCTTGTGCTGGATATGGGATAGTCAAAAAGTCAAATTTGAACTCTTCTTTTTCCTTGTCCTCTGTGAAATAACAAGATTCGCACTAGTAAAGAACAACTTTACTTAGACAAGGACTTTGATAACTTACAGTGACCTTCCAGTGCACAATGGATAAAAGGCGTATAGGACAGTAAGCAAAATAATCATGCTAACATAACTGCCCTCTTTTGTCCCCCATGAATTCTTATGTGACTTAACTTGTGTCACTAATTTCTCAGCACACATCATTATGAACTAAGATAACCAGCAGAAAACACACAAAGTAACCTAAATAGATTTAAATTTTAACTGTTTTTTCTTTCTTCACCCATGCATGTGGTCTAGAAAAAAGAAGGGAGCAACTTCAGAATACCCGTCCACATCATTTACATATGTCGGGAGGCTTTGAAGAATGAGGTATAACACAATAGACGCTATTCTTATTTAATGACATGTAAATGAGTGGCCGGGTATTCTGAAGTTTAGCCAAAAGAAGAAACTAGAAAAGAAATTATCAAACATAAATAATTGATGCACACGAAAGAGACAAAGACAGCCCTTTGCATAGCAATTTATGCAAATAATTGGTGCGCAGATACCAAAACCATATGTTATTATAATAGCCTTCCTGTTTTATGCAGTCAAGTCACATGATTGAAAAGCGAAAGTAACATCTCATGGCGCGAAGGACTAAACCATATTCTGTACACTACTAACTCTGTATACTTTCGCTCACCATGTCCTCTCTTCATTTCCCTTCATAGTTTTTCATTCGGATGTAATCAATGATTTACAGTGACCAAAGAACATCATGGTCAAACATGTACAAATTTGGACCAAATGGTGAAGTCACATGACCGAGAAGAATTGACAAAACGTTACCCCGAAAAACGCAAACTAAGTCTCAAAAACCGTGGTCTTTCGCAACATTCACCCATTGTACCGAAGGGGAAAACATTCTGAAACTCTTATAAATGTTTTGAAGCGGTTTTAATAAAACGCAGAGGATTTCAAGCGACGTCACACCCACGAACTTCTTTGGTAAACACGTCGTCGCTTCACACATTAAGATGTCGAAAACATCTTTTCTGTCTTTTCTCGCTTCTAGATAAACTTACTTACCTGTCTTAAAATCCTTTAAGTCGAGTTCTTTGGTCATTTTCTTTTCGCATCTTTTTTCGGTGTCTGGTGGAAAGGAAGTAATTTCCTCTTTCTGCTGCCAGCAAAACGAAAAGGAATGGCTGTTGTCGTCATTCTCGACGGCTTCTTTGGAATTTTTGTTCTCCGGTTCGATTGCAACTCGCTGTTTAACTTTCCTTTGTCTTGGATCTTCGTCTAGTCCAGAACAAACGCCTGGCAAGTTTTCCAAACTGAGAGCTTCTAGACCTGTGAAGCTGCCGAGAATAGTTACCGAAGAGGTCGTCTTCAAATTCCACGAGGCAATCGAGCGATAGTAATCCTTCCCCATGTCCTGCAGATGGACGCTTTCTTCCTCCGCTGATACGCTCACTGAACTGCATCGCGCGTAAACTGATCTTTTTTCCAATTTAAATGGCATCTCTTCAAACGTAGCTACATCTGAAGTTGGCTGTGCGTTGGTTGGCATCGTCAACGTCTCAGACCTATTGGGCGCCATGATGTTTCGATGTAGCTTTCGATTGTTAAATCGTTGCAAGTGAAGAAACCTAGATAGGCTTAATGACGTACACGATCTTTTTATAGCGTTTTCAATGTAAATTTCTAATTTTCATCGGAGAAAAACTGCACAGAGAAGCGTAAATTGTCTTTGCGAACCTCTGTTCTTCCACCACTCGCCTCTCACTAAACGTGTACGTTGGGTGCGTTTAGTAGTTTCACAACCCACAATGCACTCCGTTACATTACGTATTGTTTTATTTCAGGATTGCAAGAGGTCAGCTTCGATTTCGAAAACAAACACCACACATAATCGAAAGGAAACCTTTGAACATAGCTATGCACACGGGAAAAAAGACTTTAAATTTGGATGCGAATTGATGCCTGCGATTGCGAATCTCAGCAGCTAGATCCCCTTCGATCTTGTTGCGAAAAAAATTGGGAAAAATAAGAATTTTTGTGAGAACATTTCGACCCCAGTCCTTCTCACATGAATTAACCTCTGAAGAAAAAGAAAAGTTTGGCTGGAGCTGTGTCAGATTTTTGTTTTGTTTTGTTTTGCTTTGTTTTTTTTCAAGTTAAACCCCTGAAACTGTTTGTTATCTGAATGCAACAATTTTCTCCAGATAAATCTCAACATTTCTATTTTTGTACAGTAATGATAATACAGATGTACTTGGGTTACAAAATATATTTTCTGCTGGTATACGGAGTTTACAGTTCATTAACAGTTTGTTTCATCGTTGATTCTATTCACCGTAGGACACGCCATCTGGGGCGTGTCCCCTGGGTATTCCTGATTGGTCTGGTTTCAGTATTTATAGACGGTTCAGTGTGATTTAGTCCTCTCACTCTCGCTTTCCACGCTGATATCGAAGTTGTAGCAATGGACAGTATGACGGCTCGAACGGAAGCAGAAGTCCTTATCACTCCGGCACCCGAAGTCACGGAAAACTCTTCATCACAGCAAGAACAATCAAATCCACCTTTGGTGGATCAAGTGTTCTTTCTTTTCAAAACCTACCTGGCCTCCCAACTCAACGAACGAAGCAAGCAGCTCGAAGGAAAGTCGAAAGTCGTTAAGGAAGCCGCCGAGTTCAAATTCAAGGGTAATAGGAAGCAGTTCGAGTTAAATGCCCTACTGGACCACATCTTTGGTCAGATAGAGGTCAGCCTGAACGAACCGCAAGAGATCCGCAAGCTGGTGGCAGAAGGGCGACAGCTCATCAAGAGACGACAAAAGTTAATAATGTGGGGAATTAGTGAGGAGCCCACACTGTCACTGTTTTCTTCCAGAATTTATTGCTCAAAAAAGCAGGCAGAACAACGTTACGCGAAGTCTCTGACCGACTAAAAACTACTCGCAATGATTTTCTTATCTCATGAACACACCTTGATCAAAACGTAAGTTGATTGGCTATAAAGTTCTTCCCAACAAAGATAAACAAACTGATTTATCGGAGCGGACAGATCGTGACACTCGATTTCCGGCAGATAATTTTGAATCGTTACAATACTAATTATCCTGTTTCCGACCAAACAAACTTATCTCTTTCACTGAATGTAAATGTAAAGATTACTACAAATTACTTCAGGAAAAGACTAGGGCAGAGCCGACCGCTATTAAAAGATGGTCGAGACGTTTTGTGAACTTTGACTCTAGTTGGAAACGGATCTTACACAAAACTTACAAAACGACGAGTGACAAAAAGTTAAGAGACTTGGTTATAAGGTTTTCCACAGAACATTAGT